TTTGATTTTTTTTTTTTTTTTTATAGAGAGGACGCTTATTACTTAATCGTTTAGAAGAAATACAATATCTCTATTTCAACGGTCGTCCAGAATGGACTACCATACAAAAGAATGATTTAAAATTATTTTTAGCATACGTATTTTATGACAGTCCGTTTCTTAACAACGCAATTGCTGAAAAAAATTATAGACATGACAATAATTCCGATGAAATATTCAAGTTATATAAAACTGAAAATCAAAAAGATATTTTAAAAATGAATGATTTCATAGATGAAAAATATATTAAACCTGATATTTTTAATAGTATTAAACTGGGTTTAACTATAATACATAGAATTTGCAAAAATAAGTGTGATGGTTGTCAAAATTTTCCTGACAAGGATATACACCTATTAAAATTAATCAGATTTAAATTAAACAATAAATGTATTTTTATTGATTTTGAAAACCATAGAACATACACTGGTTGGGATGAATTTATAGAAAAAAATAATCTCCCCGAAGGATTTATATTCTACCCTGAATCAGGAATTTATGATGCATCAAAAAAATTGTCTCAAAATATAACACCGGCTTCCTATAAAACTGAAAAAATTTTAAAAACAATTGAAAATATCTCAGGCATATTCAATTGGGCGAGCGGTTTAATATTGATAACTGGTAGTTTAATATTTCCTTTAGCGGCACCTATTATATACATATCTGCTACAGTTGTAACAGGTGCTTCTTCATTTAAAGCATATCGACAGATTGTTAATTTAAGAGACATGTACAAATATGAAAATAATGTATCTTGCACAAAAGCCACGTCAAAATGGATTGAATTAACGATTTCTGCGATTGGCGTACTAGTAGCACCATGTTATGCATTTTCTGCAATTACTTCAGAAATTAATTCTTCTATTCAATCGACTAGAAAGGCTCTTACTGTTTTTCGAAATGGTGCTTGTATTACTCAATGTGCATTGGAAATCGTCCGTGTTACTCTGGACTTTATAAATGATGGTTTCAAAATAACATCGGAAAATGTCTTAAAACTACGTTTGGATTTGTTTGTTGCTATGGGATTATTAATGCCTTCAAACTATATTGTAAATATTTTAAAGGTAAGAATCAACCAGTGTTCCATCAATGTAATATACATTTTTAAATAGATCATACAATTATATGCATTCGTTTATATATACACTATGGTAGGTATATATTGGACATATTATAATATCGCACTGAGCGGCCAAATACTTAAAGCCATACCTGTTCGGAACAATTTTGTTAAAATACCATTTTTTCTTACATAATGTATACTTTTTTTCACATTGGATATCAGTATTTCACCCATAAATAACGAATTATTGAACGATTTTCTGTCTTGTTGGAATTCAATAACGAATAACTGTAGATTACTTGAAATTTTCACCAAATGTTTATTTTATCATTTTCAATAAAAATTT